CTAATTGGAATTTTCTCTTACAGCTTGAGCCTAAGTGTGTCGCAGGATACCCTCTAGGTGATGGTTCTTGATTACTTTTTGATAAATAATTCGTTCTTATTGCGAAATAAAAGCACTATTTATCAATCTGTAATAAAAGACTTGAGGAAATTCTGTCTTTGAAAAATTTTTGAGGCCCAAAATTTGAAATACCCAAAAAGAAGTCAGTAAAAAAATGAATCCGCCTCAACAATATAGAACTTATCTTCAACGGTTTTGTCATTAAACCACATTATTCATTTTATGAAAACGCGTTTTTTACTCATTGAGCCAAAGCAGCTTATTGATATGTATAAGTAAGTAGCAGCGCAAGAATTGAAGTAAAACTAAATTTAAGCTTCATAAGTCCTCACTCGTAAACCCTATATGGAGGCTTGAGCGGATTATCCTCTCAACTAAACAATTTTCCAGTGTATAGTCGACCCCTTCTTGTATTATTAACCAGAAGGAGCGGTAGTTTGACGAAAAGTCTTTGCGGAAAATGGGACAGCAGACAGGGAAGTTAATAACATCGCGAATAATAATATGGCAACCCTACTCTGAGATTTTCAGACAGTTTCGGAACTTTAGTGTAGGCGATTTTAATCTACAATGGGAAGTGCGAAGCTTCTGGGCACATTGTTGATGTATTGAGGTTGATTTGTCGTCAACCGGTATGTCGGTTTGAGGAGACATTCGATCAAGTTTTGAGCAAAGTTTGCCAATGGGGGACGTAAACTGGAGAGTTCAACCAGAGCTCATCTAATCAGTCAAAAGTCTTCGTTTTGTTGTGGTTGTTATCGGGTTTTTGACATCAATTGAATACGCAAAAGACCTAAAAGAAAGGAGAAATAAATCAAAATTAAAGCCAACGAATGCACTAACTGCACTTATAATAATGATTGTTCCTGCAAATGTGATATGAATTTTGTCGATTATATCAGCTGCATAGATAAAAGCCTTTTATAATATATGAACACATTTCCCATGTATGTGTTAGAGCATTTCTTGATTTATTAGCGCATATATAAATTATTCATTATTTGATTAAAACTGAATAACAAATGCAACAAACTTTAGTCCATTTATATGTGCCGCGTCATAGAATTAATGGCAATAGAACATGTTTGCCCAGATTTGCCGATATCCGGGACAGCAAGCAGAGTTTAGAAGCTAGAAAAGGCTTCGGGTAGTGCCATTAATCAAATGCAAGCTAAAACGTGCAAATCCCCGAGAAGATGCAAAAATCATTAGCGCCAGCGACTTTCGTGATAATTTGCATTATCTCGTGTTGGAAACGTGGAAGAAAAATACATAAGCGCCCCCAAAGGAAACAAAAGTTTACAGCAGCGACAATGAATAGAGTATACAATTTTCTCGTTGCACGAAGAAAATAAATTGATTCTGGTCTCGCTTTCTTGCCAGTTTCTTTTCAATTATTTAGTTAACGCTGCAATATATGGGCCGAACTCACTTGCATGCAAATTCCCATTCGAATAAACGAAAAATGGTTAGAGAACGAAGTGTTTAGACTGCCAGCATTTGGGGATTTTATCCAAAACCTTGCAAAAAAACCCAGTGAAGACAGACAAGTAAATTTAATTGTTAACCGAAGTGCCTGCTTCACTTCAACTGCAACTGAAAATTGCGGTTTTTTGCGGGTTAAAACCCACCGGCCCCCCGTTATAAACAACACAACTTCCAGTGTGTTTTTCATTAAAACGACGAAACAAATTTAAATAATTACGTTTCGAAAACTCGGTGCTAAATCCCCACCACTCGTTGACGCAAGATTTGCATAACAAAGTGTACCAACGACAAAAAGGAAACCTCTATTTGTTTTGCTTACTCTGTGAAACATTCCGGGGACAATGCAACTGTGATTTATGAAATTAGCGTTTTTTTTCGGACAGGAATTTTAATTTTTCAGTTAAAGGCAGTGCGGCTTTTTAGCGGCAAAGTGGTGGAAAACGCAATTTAAAAGAATGGCACTCATTTGCACTAAACGGATCTTTAGGTCAGATGCAATTAGAAAACAACTTAGGGGGAGCAAAAAGGAGTTTATTTTTTCTAAAATTGCCTTTTTTGCGTCTTAAATTCCATCTCGACACGCTCAATTGGGGAAAAGCCCTTGTTTTACTTTAACAAGTGTTGCATTCGGGTGTTATTGCAACATACCTAAGAGCTAAATCTCATCTCGGAAATGAGCAAAACACAAACTTAGCGAGCAGATAGAGAATAGAAATTTATCTCTAAGCGCTTAATACATTCTTGATATCTCGCAGCTGTGCCCGCCCGACTTCCCTTTCCAACAAGATATATTTCCAGCCAAAGTTCAAAAGTTAATATTCGGTATCATAATGGCATTTTATCTTTAATAGGCGCATTTCTTCGAAGCGGCTTGTTTTGGAAGTCAAATTTTAGCCGGCCTGAGAAAATCTGCCTCAAAGTTGATTTGCAGAAATTGTCGTTTAAAGATTGGAAATTTGAAAATGGTTCAAAATTTTCGACTATTTCGGTTCGGACTGGTTTTGTTGCTTCAACTGGTTGGTTGCCTGGTATTCTTGCGATCGGCATGCGATGGAATTTGGGGCATTTGAATGTCTTCGAAAAAATGGTAGAAATATCTTCAAAATCAATTTCTTGGTTGGCATATATAAGACATCGACTGTTGAAGATTTGATTGATTCTTTCGGCTATTTGCGTGAGGGTTTGAGTCAGTACTGTTGAAGATATTAGGGGTTGAAGAGCGAAAACATTCTGACTTTCCCCGCTTGCGTTTGATTTGCTCTGTTATCTCTTTACTCCAAACAGAGTAATTTATTTGTCATGGTGGCTTTTGATACGTTCTTCTATTTTAAATAAATCGCAATTATAACTTCAGTGATGGATATTGGAAAAAGTCTGACACTTTTAAGGCGCTGAAGGTTGATGAAATGATCCGGGCAAATCCGGTTTTAAATTCACCTAAAGTCTTCCCAACTGCTTTCCTCCGAAGTTCTTTTTTATGAGGACCTCAAATCCCAATCGCAAAAGTGAATTGATTTTTGCCTTAGCCCGAACGGAAGTTGTTTGTAAATTATGCAGATAGTGTTGGAATATTAAATGATGACACGTAGAGTGGCTCCCTTTGGACTGGCACACTTGGAGAGAATGTTTATATGTTGAAGCGCACCAAGAAGGAACAGCGCTCTTTTACATGCTCGTATTGGAACTCTGGAAATGGGTTGCAAGGCTATACATTGCAGTTTTCCCCGGTTTTTAGTCGCCAATTTAATTGCGAATAAATATGTCAAAGAAGTGGGCAAATTTACCATTAAACTCCGATAATTTCGGTGCATTGATGCAGTTAAAAGTGCATGTTTCATTTGTGAATTGCACCGATTTTCTGGTTTACTGCCTAGAAATTAATCTCATCTCTTATTAAAAAAAAAAACGATCCCTTTTACATCCGCTTAGCTCCGTCCTGTTAAGTGGCGCTGAATAAACAACAGGGAAACCAGCCAAGTCGAAATTAATCCACCTAAAAATGAATCTAGGCGGTACGAAATTGCCCAGGTTTTCTTTGAGTATTCAAAAGGTTAATTGAATTGACGTCTACTCGGTTTACATCGATCATTTTCTTGTTGGAATTCACCTGGAGCCACAGGAATGTTAAGAATCTACAATTATTGGTTATCGTGGTTGTATTTGTGGTTGGTTTTTTACTTCACTGAGTTGCGTTTGTGTGTGGAGCGGTGGAAAAGTTGAAACAAGCGATTTTTCCGGGCCTTTTTGCTGCTGATTTTATATTAAGGAATATATTGACGGTTAAATGTTATAACCGCTCAAAAACTGATCAAACTGAGCGAAAAGGTGTTTCTTATTCCATTCAAAAGAGATTTTGTTTTGTAGTTAAGTGTGTATTTTCAATTGGCTCACTGAATTCCTCTCTTCCGCGAGATGAACAGTATGTGAAATTCAGGGCATTTTGAGAGGATTAATATTTAAAAAAAAAATCCTACTGCAGCCTTTGAAAAATTTCCTAAAATCGCTTAAAAATATCCGAAAATGTCGATTATTTTGAATGTGAAGGTTCTAACGTGTTTTTTAATTAGCTTACTGCATTCCTCGCTTTTTTTGGGATAAAAATGATGTAAAATTAATGGAACTTCGAGCAAATCAATATTTTCCGAAAAACTCTTGGAAAAAGTTTTGGACAAAAACCTAAATTTTACATGTGTGTTTTTTGAGCTTAATAAATTGTTTCTGGTCTGAAAAGGTACCTAATGTCCATAAAACAGTGTTTTCGTCTATAGTAAGGAAGAAATGGTCGGTTAAAGATCGGGAGCGCTCAAAAACAGCTCAGATTGACCCACAAATTTCGATTTCTTGGACCTCAAGCTTCTAACGTGTTTCTTACTTAGCTTATTGAATTCCTTTCTTCAGTGAGACAACGATTATGTAAAATTCCGGACATTTTGAGAGAATCAATATTTTTCGGAAAAATCGACCTCCACCCTTAGGAAAATTTCGGTGAAAAATACAAATTTCAAATACGTATTTTTTGAGCCCAATTGATTGCTTACGGCCCAAAAAGCTCCTTAATATGCATAAAAAAGTGTTTGCGTCTATAGTACGGAAGATATTGTCGGTTAAAGATCGGGACTGTTCAAAAATTGCCCAAATTGAGCCAAAAATGTCGATTTTGTGGGTCTTAAGCTTCTAACATGTTTCTTAATTAGCTTACTAAATTCCTTTCTTCAGTGAGACAAAGATTATGTAAAATTCCGGACATTTTGAGAGAATTAAAATATTGCGAAAAAATCGGCCTCCTTAGGAAAATTTCGATGAAAAATACAAATTTCGCATACGAGTTTTTTGAGCCCAATGGATTGCTTCCGGCCCGAAAAGCTCCTTAGTGTGCATAAAAAAGTGTTTGCGTCTATAGTACGGAAAATATTGTCGGTTAAAGATCGGGACTGCTCAGAAATCGCCCAAAATGAGCCAAACATGTCGATTTCGTGGATCTGAAGCTTCTAACATGTTTCTTAATTAGCTTACTAAATTCCTTTCTTCAGTGAGACAAAGATTACCTAAAATTCAGGGTATTTTGAGAGAATTAATATTTTTCGAAAAAATCGACCTCCACCCTTAGGAAAATTTCGGTGAAAAATACAAATTTCACATACGTGTTTTTTGAGCACAATGGATTGCTTCCGGCCCAAAAAGCTCCTTAATATGCATAAAAAAGTGTTTGCGTTTATAGTACAGAAGATATTGTCGGTTAAAAATCGGGACTGCTCAGAAATCGCCCAAAATGAGCTAAAAATGTCGATTTTGTGGATCTGAAGCTTCTAACATGTTTCTTAATTAGCTTACTAAATTCCTTTCTTCAGTGAGACAAAGATTATGTAAAATTCCGGACATTTTGAGAGAATTAAATTTTTCGAAAAAATCGACCTCCACCCTTAGGAAAATTTCGGTGAAAAATACAAATTTCACATACGAGTTTTTTGAGCTCAATGAATTGCTTCCGGCCCAAAACGCTCCTTAATGTGCATAAAAAAGTTCTTGCGTCTATAGTACGGAAGATATTGTCGGTTAAAGATCGGGACAGCTCAAAAATCGCCTAAAATGAGCCAAACATGTCGATTTCGTGGATCTGAAGCTTCTAACATGTTTCTTAATTAGCTTACTGAATTCGTTTCTTCAGAGAGACAATGATTATGTAAAATTCAGGGCATTTTGAGATAATTAATATTTTTCGAAAAAATCGACCTCCACCCTTAGGAAAATATCGGTGAAAAATACAAATTTCACATACGAGTTTTTTGAGCTCAATGGTTTGCTTCCGGCCCAAAACGTTCCTTAATGTGCATAAAAAAGCTCTTGCGTCTATAGTACGGAAGATATTGTCGGTTAAAGATCGAGATCGCTCAAAAATCGCCCAAAATGAGCCAAAAATCACGATTTTTTTGGATCTCAAGCTTTTAGCGTGTTTTTTAATTACCTCACTGAATTCTTCTCTTTCTTAAGATGAAAATGATGTCAAATTGAACAGTTTTCCTCACAGATTGAACAGACCTCCACTCATGGGAAAATATCGACCAAAAATCAAAATTTTACATGCGTGTTTTTTGACCTCAATGGATTATTTGCGACCTCAAAAGCTCCAATATGCACATATGAAGTGTTTGGGTCCATAATAAGAAGGATTTTGTGGGCTAAAGGTTGTGACCGCTCAAAATGTGACGAAAATGTAGATTATTTCGCTCCTGAAGATTATCGCGTGTTTTTCTAAGGAGCTCGTTGCATTTCTCGCCTTCTTCTGATGAAAATGATTCAGGCATTCATACAGTTGGAGGCGTTTTGCGTTTTGTAAAAAGCATTTTTCAGAAATTTCCTTTTCTCTAAAAATGTGTCGCGAATAACCTGTAGAAGCAAGAACGGTGGAAGTATGAAAAATAACCTAAAGTGATTTAAATGGGGCCGATAAATTCCTCTTTCTCTTCGAAAAAGCTCTCTAAATTGCGTATATTTCGCCTCTTTCAGATCAGCTAACCAAAATTTCTAAATTCAACAACCAGAGGTATAGATTGTGCATACAAATCTGTGGATTATCTCAATATTTCCCATTAGATCAGGGCCATTAAAAGGCCGCGCAAATTCAATACGTTCATTGTGCGCCGAAAAATTGTTTTTGAACGCCCCGACATGGGCCATGCATCAACGGAAAACTTTAAAATAAATTCCCCGCCTAGGAAATTTTCCATTTTCATGCATTTTCACGTATGTCTCGGTTCCCGAAATTTCATAGCGGAAAAGTAGAAAAGAAGCTGAAGGCTATTTTACTTCCCATTCCAGTAAATCAGCGGGGATTAGGGCGCGTGTGCTTTGCATGGCAGCTGTCGCTTTAAAAATTTGCCCAAGCAGTTTCCAGCTTCCAGCTGGAATTGTAGGTGAAATTTAGACATAGTCGTAGGGAAAACTGTTCAGGATATATCGGAAATCTCCTACCAACATTTGCTAACGACTTACCCTTAACATCTAGGCAGGCCTCCTGGGTTCGCATGGCGCTGGTATTGACCTCACATAGATAACACCCTCTATCCGACACCTTCACCTGCTTTATGCGAAGCTGCCAGGTGTAGGGATCTTCCTGACTAACGAAGATTCGATTATTGTGCGTTACCACTTTAGTGCCGATGCTCAGGATGGTTTGGTCTTCGGCTCGAACCCAGGCCACCTGAAAAACAGTAAATATGGACGAAAATCCTCTAGCGCGATTACGGGTAATTAATGAGAGTGAAAATCGATGGAAATTCCTCTAGCAACTATGTGGCTCCGATATAGAAATATGACAAACGAGCGCACATAACGTGGCAAAAACAAAGCCTGAATAACCGAGCGGGATAAGAAAATGGCCCTCGCCAGCAAAAAGGTCCCTAGCCGGCAGCATTAACACGTTTTTGTGCCTTTAAACAAGGACCCTAATGGAATACACAGGCAAACAACTTCAACTTTTTCTGCGGCTTTAATAACGACCCGGAGCCATTTTGGGCCTGATCTCAGGCACCCGTTGGACCAAATAGCGCTGCTTCAAAAGCTGGAAAAATATCCTGCGTTCTTACCTTGTTGGTTTTGTAGCGGTCAGTTGAGTTCACCACGCAATTAAAGACAGCGTCTCTACCTGATACGGTGGTGATGTTTCTGATAGGGGTTGTGACGTTCGATCGGTTCAGAAGCCACCACTCTTCTGGAAGGAAAACTACAGTTCAATTTCGGTTGCAAAACATGCTCTATTAGTGAAACATCTATCAGTTTGGTAGCTAGAACTGGGCAGTTTTCAATTTATGGAGGTCATATTAAGGCGAAAAGCGCATTTATCTGCGGCACTG